CCACAAAAATAATGTGAAAACAACTAATTTGTAAGAAAATTTGGCATTTTAGGAGGACGCATGAGGTCTGTTCCAAATCACAGGGTCGGGGAAGCAAAATGTGGGTGTGGATTCTGTTTATACGCATACCCATACCCACACTTAAAACACACATTTCAGGTGTTTTGATCAACATGGAAACAGATACTGAGTTATTTGAAACTCTTCTATGTTCACTTCCATCTCGACTTTGTGCAGTAAAGAATGCTAACGATCGTCATACTGATTATTGATTGTATTCATTAAATGATGAAAAAATAAAGTATTTTGTATCACATTTAGTTCAAACTTTATCTCATGAATTATTTTTCTCATATCTGTAGTCGATAAAATATTACTAATTTAGAGTATATAACATACGAAAGTTTTCATAACGCTTATTGTTTAGTACTAATAAACCCCATTTTCGGCCAGCTTTCATTTGATATAAAACTTATTATTTACTCTATTTGAAATTATAGCGATACTCCCGTGGAAAAATATTATTTCCAACCTCGTACTTTAAAATAATATCAATAACTTTCATTCAATTCTTTTTGAAGATATGTGATGATTAATACTTTATTAGAATTTTTTGTTTTTTATGATATTTAATCTAAAAGCTATAATTATTTCGAAAAAAAAATCAAAATATTCGAAGATTAAAAGAAAAAAAAATAGAAAACTTCTGTCTCTAGTGTATAATAATTAATAAACTAGTTAAGAAAGCTATTAATATCATATTATTTGTTAAATAATGTCCGCGATTTTCTAAGATTAACTTTCGTTGTTTTAAATCATCATCAATGTCTTCTGCAAAAAAGCTACGAAATAATTTTCTGGAACCAAGTGGTTGTACTGGTCGATATACATCTTTCATTGTATTAGCTTTTTCATCATGTAAATGTTTAAAAGCTTGAAGTTGCTGACGTGATAATTTCAATGGGTCTCTTAAAACACTCCATATAACTGATTCATAACAAGGTGGTGTTGTTAATGAACCATCATAACGATAATAACGATACATACGCTCTTCACCAATTAATGTTTTCAAAATAAATTGTTCACTAACAGAAGTTCGTTGATCATGACTTTGAACACGCGTTAATGCATCAACTAATGGTTGAAACGATGGATTCGATTCATCACTAAGCTAAATATACAAAAAGAAAGCCTATTAATAACATCATAACCTATGACATGAAAGTCTTAGCATGAAATATTCACTCATTTTTCGATCACACTTAAAGACAAATTGTTAGAGTCAGAAGCAGTTAGTTAGAATTACGCTATTTCACTTTTTCCTAATATGTGTTTAGAATTTCTTTCTCGAATAAGATTGGACGATTATCATCAGATTATTTCAAAATGTTCAAAACAGTAGTTGTACAAAATACTATTCTAGTCGATTTTATATTTTGATTAAATCTATTAAATTCAAAGTGCGAAAAATTTTTTAATAGCTCAGTTTTCTAGAGCAAAGTTTGCTCTACAAAGCATGCTATTCATTTTTTGCATTTTTTAAAAACAGTCTTTGAAGCAGCAATTTTTTTTGATCAATGCCAATTTCCATAGAAACTAGTTAACTTGAGTGAAAACGCATAGATGAGATTTCGCTTATTGTAATATTTCATTTTGTACAGAATTCAGTGCTCTACAATAGGGAAGATGCGGATCCACATTTTTGTGGATCTGGACCCGATCGAATCTAGACTCGAGGTTTTTTCTGTCAATATTCGCATCATCTGTGTAGATGAGCAAGTGAAAGATCAAAGTTTTAGCTATTTATTGACTACTCTCAAAAAAAAGTCAACGTACAGTTATTTCTTGTTGTTCACTTTTTCATTACCTGATGTTTAATAAATGAAAAGTTTTCTGCTTATGAGTGAACTACCCAAACTGATATCTGGCCTTTGAACTCATATTGGATTCACAAGGAGGCCTCGGTAAGTCTAGAAAAACCTTAAAAATGTTCGTGCAAATGAACCTCTGAAGTCAAGATATGAAAGTTTCACTGAATTTTCTACTTAGTGTTAGATATTTACCGAAAAACTAAATAATGGAATTTTGATCTGAAATTTTGCTTGCAGGTAGATCTAATAACTCAAGAAATATCTTGAAAGTTTCAACCGAAAAGAATATATCTTAGTCGAATATTGAATTTTCAAGTAAAATCGACTTTCGTGGTAAGCGATTATTTATTGAAAATTCAATCTTTCGACAAAGGAATATTCTTTTCGGCTGAAACTTTCAGGATATTTCCAAAGTCGTCAAATCTATCTATGGGCAAAATTTCAGGTCGAAATTTCACTATTTGATTTTTCAGTAAATACCTAAAGCTGGATCCGAAGTCCGGCAAAACGGTCACAACTCGACTCCAGAATCCTATGAGTACGAATCCTTTTAGGATTTCCCTAGTCTTATTGAGATCTTCTTGCGAATCTAATATGAGTTCAAGCGGCGGGTATCAGTTCGAATAGTTCCCTCGTTAGTTGAAAAAAGCAATATGTTAACAAAAAATGAAATTGGACTGTTTAATTGACAAACAAAATTCGTCATTGAAAATTATCAAACCAACAGTGACATCAAAATCTTTAGCTGTATGAGATAGTCTTAGTTATACTTATATAAGCAAGATCAAGCAAGAATATGTTTCATGCAATCAATTTCGAAAGCTACGGGTCCACGTTTTGTGGGCTCGAGTCTGAATTCGAATTCATAGCTTCCTATCTATAATAATATTGAGTAGAAGCTATTTCAAGACACAAAATGAGAACTACGCTAAAACTACTATTTTGTTTTGTGCAAACGCAATTTTGAACTTTTTTTTTAATAAAAATTCCTGATAGTTGTGCACTCTTACTTCAGAAGGAAAATCTAAACATATACTCGTAAATAACAAAAACTTCTGATTCTGACTCTAATCAGTTGTCTTTTAGTAATTGAAAAATGAGCAAATATTTTATGCCAAGACTTTCGCGTTATAGGTTATAAAAAAAAAACCAGAATTGAGTAAATTATACTTCAAAGAAAACACCAACAACAGCAAGACCACGTGTATTAACCATAGCGTCACGAATATTTGAATACAAATCCGAATAAGTAACCACATGCATCTTTTAAAAAATATCAATATATAATAAATCAATATTAAATATTTCATATACTAACTTCAAGTGGATATGGTCGTCCTTCAAGTAAATGTTCTGATCCATTATTAATATCATGTGAATGACCCCAATGAAAATGAACTTGTTCAACTTTGTAGTCTTCACTTTCAGGTGCAACATTTTTTAATACATAACGATTTTTTATATTAAGTTGTACTATAATATAAAATGATGAAGATTATATTATAAGAAAATTACTTCATTGATTTGTCAAATTATTTAAAATATATAAGATTTCTGCAAACCTGTATGACCATTATTGGAAAGTTCGGCTGGTCCTATTAATAATAATAATAATAATAAAAGAAATGTAATATATTTATAATTAAAATGATTTACCTGAAAAATCTTGTTCTTCGAAATACAACTGTTTAAGACGATGATCACGACGTGATTTATCAAAGTGAAGATCTATTGGTGATTGCGATTTACCACCACAATAATGATGTCCACGTAGCCATTGTTTTGTATTTTCATAAGACCATGCACCTACACATTATATTAAATAAGTTTTATTTCGAAAAATAAGACAACTTACCTTTAGATTCAACAATAGTTGGTATGAATAATAATATTATTAATACAAATTGTAACATTTTTTTTTTCTACAATAAAATTATCTACAATAAACAGTCAAAAATCAAAAGAAAATATCAGATTCTTGTATGATAATAAATAGATATTGATTTATCCGAAATTTATGATCAATGGTTGTTTTTTTTCTTGTCTAATCGATCAATATGTCGTGGTAAATCAAATATGATCTTAACTCTATAGAGAACAAGATAACTAGAACTTTTATTCAACTACATCAGTCTTCTATATATAGTAACTAACCATTCCGAAAACATAAAAATTATTCTGTATTATAAAGAAATAACTAACAGAGAAAAACTTCTATCAGTGATTTACTTCAAATATTTACATATATGATCAAGGTGCAGACACGATCTCATTGTTTGACGTGTCGAACAAATTATTTACTTAGTCATAATAATTTTGTTTTTTCTAGTATTATCTATATTTAATCTCAGTCAATGTAGCATATTTACTGGTGCAGAAACGAATGAAAATAAATACCAATCTAAGTTTTGCTTGGTACAGTACAGAGAGAAGGAAAAAACAGAATGAGAAGATGAAGAGGAAAGAAGTATTTTTTTTCTGTCGGTATTTAATTAGGCTTGCTTCTACCTATATAAAAAATCGATCTCGACTCAGATACATTCAAATGACATGAAATTTTTAACTCTATATCATGATGTTCCTGGAAGACATTCAACTAACAAAGATCGAAAATAGCTCATTTGTCAAAATGAAATTCTTCGTAGGTCTTCATTTTATAAACTTAATTTTTATTTTATTTGAAAGAGCTATTGTTCTTAAGTTCTTATTTTTCAAGGAGAGAAAAGTTCAAGATCTCAAAAAATGACGTTCTAATTATAAAAGTACTCTTTTATATCATAATAACAAAGTTTAATTCATAAAATAGGCTCTGTCATGCGATGTATATTGGCATAATCTATCATACAGAAAACAACAGCCATATGCTACATGAAGCTCCTTCGAGAATTCTGAGTTGTACGATCCAAAAACAAGATAAACAGAGAAAAAGATTGTTTATTTTATCTGAAAAAATCATATTTTCTCAAGCAGAAAATGACGGAAATTTTTGGAAGAAAAGGATGTGTCAAATAGAAACAAAATCATATTGTTTATGAAAGATCAGACTTCCGGCTATCTCCCTATGCATTTATGTCAACACTCATGTTTTTCACAAAGATTGACTTCTTTCTAGGGAATGGAGAGGCTTAATATACAAAATAATTTTTATTATATACTAAATAAAAAAAACAATTCCTTTTCTTCTAAATAATTTACTCAAAGAATAATCCGAAATGATAAGAAAATTTTACTAAATTTTCAATAAAAAAGTTTCCTTCGCACAATATTGTATATATATTTTGTTAAATACAAAGTTTTCTCTTTTTTTTCTGCTATCATCCTCATTTTTTTCTATTTTATCTAAAGAAAAATCCATTGTTGAAGATAATTTGTAAAATTTCAATCTAATTGTCATCATAATTTCTAAATTGTAAATGCCGTCGGAATGTGGATGTACGACAAAGATGACAAGATAAAATACTCAACAATCTTGAACAATTCCACATTCAAAACTGGCAAAGAGAGTAGAGTTCAGTGGTTTCAAAATTTATCCTGAACTGTAGTTCCAGTTCGATTCCTAACATATCATGTGAAGTCGAAATCATTAAATCATCAGATAGATATGAAAATTTTAAATCTTAATATACTGAACTATTTAATCTCAAGAATGAAAACATGAAGATTTCTCAACATACATTTAAGAATTTTTGTATCTATCTGATGATGTAACGATTTCGGTTTGCTTTCAGTTTTTTGGAACCGTCAAACTGTAGGAGAGAGACTCTTAACTGCGACAAGTGGTGGAAAACAATAAATAGAAATGC